CCGTTCCCGGTGCCGTTCCCGGTGCCGTTCCTGGCCCATTCTCGGTCCATTCCCGGTGCCGCTCCCGGTGCCGTTCCTGACCCGTTCCTGGCCCATTCCCGGGCTGCTCCCGGTGCCGTTCCTGGCCCGTTCCCGGCCCATTCCCGGTGCCATTCCTGGCCCGTTCCTGGCCCATTCCCGGCCCATTCCCGGTGCCGTTCCTGGCCCATTCCTGGCCCGTTCCTGGCCCATTCCCGGTGCCATTCCCGGTGCCGTTCCCGGTGCCGTTCCTGGCCCATTCCCGGTGCCGTTCCTGGCCCATTCCCGGTGCCGTTCCTGACCCGTTCCCGGTGCCGTTCCCGGCCCATTCCCGGTGCCGTTCCTGGCCCATTCCCGGTGCCGTTCCTGGCCCGTTCCTGGCCCATTCCCGGTGCCGTTCCCGGGCTGTTCCTGGCCCGTTCCCGGCCCATTCCCGGTGCCGCTCCCGGGCTCGCTCCGGTCCCACCTGCCCGCGGGGGCTCCGCGCGGCGTGTGTCGCCCCCCAGCGGACACCGCGGGGACTGCAGCGCTCCCGGCACCGCCCGGGCGCGGGGACAGAGACAGAGGGACAGAGGGACAGAGATGGGGACAGAGGGACAGAGGGACAGAGATGGGGACAGAGGGACAGAGATGGGGACAGAAATGGGGACAGGGAGAGACTGAACAGGAAAAGGGGAAAGAGGGAGATGTGGAAGATGGAGGTGGGAGAGAGAGGGGGAGTGGAGAAAATGAGTGGGCAAAGGGAGAGGAAATGTAGGGAAGAATGGAAGAAACAGAGAAAAGGAAAGAGAGAAAGGAGGAAATGGAGGAGGGAGAGAGGAAGGAAGGAAGGAAGGAAGGAAGGAAGGAAGGAAGGAAGGAAGGAAGGAAGGAAGGAAGGAAGGAAGGAAGGAAGGAAGGAAGGAAGGAAGGAAGGAAGGAAGGAAGGAAGGAAGGAAGGAAGGAAGGAAGGAAGGAAGGAAGGAAGGAAGGAAGGAAGGAAGGAAGGAAGGAAGGAAGGAAGGAAGGAAGGAAGGAAGGAAGGAAGGAAGGAAGGAAGGAAGGAAGGAAGGAAGGAAGGAAGGAAGGAAGGAAGGAAGGAAGGAAACAAAGAAAGCTGAAAGGAGAGGATAGAAGGAGAGGAAGAAAATGGTGAAGAAGGAATGAAGAGAATGAAAGAAAGAGGAAGATAGAAATAAAGAAGGAAAGAAAAAGCAGAAAGAGAGAGAAGGAAAGCAGGAAAGAGGAAGAGATGTAGAGGAGGGAAAGGGAAGGGAGGGGAAGGGAAGGGAAGGGAAGGGAAGGGAAGGGAAGGGAAGGGAAGGGAAGGGAAGGGAAGGGAAGGGAAGGGAAGGGAAGGGAAGGGAAGGGAAGGGAAGGGAAGGGAAGGGAAGGGAAGGGAAGGGAAGGGAAGGGAAGGGAAGGGAAGGGAAGGGAAGGGAAGGGAAGGGAAGGGAAGGGAAGGGAAGGGAAGGAAGGGAAGGGAAGGGAAGGGAAGGGAAGGGAAGGGAAGGGAAGGGAAGGGAAGGGAAGGGAAGGGAAGGGAAGGGAAGGGAAGGGAAGGGAAGGAAAGGAAAGGAAAGGAAAGGAAAGGAAAGGAAAGGAAAGGAAAGGAAAGGAAAGGAAAGGAAAGGAAAGGAAAGGAAAGGAAAGGAAAGGAAAGGAAAGGAAAGGAAAGGAAAGGAAAGGAAAGGAAAGGAAAGGAAAGGAAAGGAAAGGAAAGGCTCTGTCTGGCACCAATCCAGCCAAGACCCTCTGAAGTAGATGATTTTCTCCTGGGTTTGGTTTTGGAGGGGCAGGAAGCTCTGGCTGCAGGGGGCTGGTCCATCCCAATTTTCCAGACACTGCTGGGCAGCCCAGGCCAGCCCCACCGGCCCTGAGGTGCCTCCTTCAGTGGGTTATTTCACAAACAAAAATTCACCCACACTCTTTATTCACACATGGAAATCCACACTCCTTTCATTAATGACAACATCATTAAAAATGCTTCCCTTTAGAATTTGTAGCCTTTTAAAAATATTGACTATTGAGCCCCAAGCAGAGCATTATGGCTGGTTTAAAGCTCCTTTTTGGGTGCATTTGGGCTGATTTTTGTGGCTGCCCTGCTGTGTTCAGCCTGCAGTTCCAAGGAATGATTCCTGCAGCACAAGGAGTTTCTTCCTGTGTTTTTCCCAGGGTTTAAATTCATCTGATTCATCTGTCCCTCCCTTTTTTTAGGTGTTTTCACAAGTTGTGGGTGTTTCAAGGGAGAGCTGAGTTTTATTTATTTCAAAATCCCACATCTTCTTTGAACCTCTTTCACTGAAACATTTGATCCAGCTCGGTAAAATTGGATTTTAGAAGCGATTCAGGCCCATCCAAAGATTGATTTAATTTATAAAATATCTGGTAGCTTTGTCTTTTTCCCGAAGAAAAGAAGTTTTCCTGTGGCATCCCTGTGAGCTGCTCCAGGCTGCAGGGACAGAAAAGACCCTGCAAAAGGAATTTGGAGCCAATTTCAGCCCTGTGGAGGCCAAGCAGAGAATTGAACCAGCAGGAAAAGATTCCACCCATCAGCAAATTTCTCATTTTTTCAAATCAAACTGCCCTGATTTGGAGAAAACAGCTCTTTTCTGGAAGCAAATCCTGGGAAGGAACAGCTTTGCTGAGCGTGGCTGGATGGAGATGTAAGTGGTCTAAAAGGATCCCAGCACTGCTTGATTGCTAATGGATTAATTAATAATTAATAATTAATTATGACTGCTCTCCCTTCCAAGTGATGAATTCTAATTACAGTAGAAGAATGGCCAAACAAGTATTTTCACAGTGTTTTTTCTTTTTACTGGCATTGATACAGTTGGAATGATCGAGATGTGCCATTTTTATCGATTGTTAATATATTTGTGGGGAAAACCAGACACGTTTGGGACATTTTTAAGGTCTGAAACAGAAGCACCAATATCAGATTAATTTAAATATGTTAACTAATTAGATCATTAGAGATTATTTACTTCAGCCCTGTGTGTGGGAACCCGGGGCACGGGGAATATTTCTCTGTCTGCTCTGACTCCCCGGAAAACTCTGATTTTGTCCCTCCTTCATGGAGAAGGACTCCAAAACTTCAAAGTAAACCACAAAAGTGTGAAATAGATTGTAGAGAACAGTTTAGTATGTCACATGGGGGAGAAATTGAGATTTTTGGGGTTTGTAGCATATTGTAGATGGGTACAAGGTGAAGGATACAGGGTGGTGCCTCGAGATCCTTTCTTCTTTCTTCTTTCTTCTTTCTTCTTTCTTCTTTCTTCTTTCTTCTTTCTTCTTTCTTCTTTCTTCTTTCTTCTTTCTTCTTTCTTCTTTATTTTCTTTCTTCTTTCTTCTCTTTCTTCTTTCTTTTCATCTTAAATACAACAGTATTGTGTTATAATAATGCAATACAACGGTATTGCATTATATTCTGTTATATTCTGTTATATTGTTATATTATATTACATTACATTATATAACACTATATTATATTATATTATATTATATTATATTATATTATATTATATTATATTATATTATATTATATTATATTATATTATATTATATTATATTATATTATATTATATTATATTATATTATATTATATTATATTATATTATATAACACTATATTATATTATATTATATAACACTATATTATAGAATATTATATAACAGAATATAATATAATATAATATAATATAATATAATATAATATAATATAATAATATAACATAACATAACATAATATAATATAACATACTATAATATAATTCATATAATATAATACAATATAACATAATACAATATAACATGATACACTATAATATAAATAATATAACGTAATATGACACTATAATATAATATACTCTAATATAAAAAATGGATTACATGCAATTAATTTGTATCTTAAAGCCTCAAGATACAAATAACTGAGCACAGAGCTCCATAATTAAGCTTCGAACTCCCCTAATATCTCTCTAGATCTCCTTTTCTGTAACTTAGGGAGATATTTTACTTATTCTTTATTTAACAATGATCAATTATTTACTTTACTTGTTATTTATTTACCAATGGTCAGCGTTAATACACAGACCATCGTTCTATTTGTCCTTTTTTTCTACTTCTTGTATCATTTTTCTGCTGACAAATCTCATGTTTACTGTTTATTTTCATTTGAGGTTTGCCTTCTGCAATTTGTCTAAAATTTCCTGATTTTAAGGATTCCTACACCGAAGACTTTCCCCCTTTTTAAAGCAGACTTTAAAATAAACCTTCACAAACCTAAAAGAACGAATAAATGAATTTTATTTATCATTTCATCGTTCCCATGTCCCTCCATCCCGCTCTGCTCAGGATTCTCAATATCCTTTGATTTTTGGGATGATTTTATTAGAATGCGCTAATCCTATAAATAATAACTCGTGCAAACAAACCATTTATTATCCAATTAATAATTTATTATCCAATTAATACTTATTAACAATAATTACTATACTTGCTATATATTTATTATTAATTACAAGAATTATATTATTATACTAATAACTTAATTATTAATTTATTATCAATTAATAATTTATTATCCAACTAATTTATTATCCAAGAAGCAATCTTGCGGGAAGCTGGCAGAGTCCAGATCCTGTTTTATTCACCACCCGCCAGTTTTAAATGGAAAATAATGAATGTGAGGGATTCTTTGACAAAAAGCGGGGTGGGATTTTACCCCCAGGCATAAGGCCTGATGGAAACCCGCGGTATTTGTACAACGCGGGTGTAAATCTGCATTAATGCGGCAGAAATCGGGAATTTTTTATGTTTAATTCCGGATAAACCGGGCCCTGAGCGAGCTGCCCTCACGCCAACTCCGCCTTCGAGGCTTTCTGAGCCCTCAGCGCCGCCGTAGACGTCGCGCGCGCGGAGGAGGGGGCGTGGCCAACGCTGAGGCTGCGCGAGGACAGCTGAGGGGGCGTGGTTTGATGGCAGTGACGTCATGGTGGGAGGAGGGCGTGGCTGTGACGTCAGGGCGGTGACGTCACGGCGATGGCGGCCCGCTCCAAGGCGGACATCCGGGAGGAGGTGTGGCGGCACCTGGAGAGCTCCGGCCTGGCCGCCTTCCCGCGGCCCGTGCGCGGCCGCATCCCCAACTTCCAGGTACGGCGGCTGCCGGGCCGAGCCCTCGGAGTCCTCCGGATCCTCCTGCTGCTGCAGCCCGGGCCGGGCCGGGCCCCCCGTGCCCCCACTGTGCTCCTCTGTTCCTCACAGTGCCCCCCAGCTCCTCCCACTGCTCCCGCAGGTCCCCCTAGTGCCCCCTCAGTCCCCCCCAGTGCCCCCCAGTTCCTCCCCAGTTCCCCCCAGTGACCCCCGTGCCCCCACTGTGCTCCTCTGTTCCTCACAGTGCCCCCCAGCTCCTCCCACTGCTCCCGCAGGTCCCCTAGTGCCCCCCCAGTACCCCCCCCCGTGCTCCTCAGTCCCCCCCAGTGCCCCCCAGCTCCTCCCCAGTGCCCCCCAGTGACCCCAGTTCCCCCCAGTGCCCTCACTATGTTCCTCAGTTCCCCCCCAGTGCTCCCCTGTTCCTCCCCATTCCCCCCCAGTGACTCCCAGTTACCCCTAGTGCCCCCCCAGTTCCCCCAGTTGCCTCCCAGTTCCACCCCAGTTTCCCCCCACTACTCCCCCTATGCTCCTCAGTTCCCCCCCAGTCACCCCAGTGCCTCCCAGTGCCCCCCAGTCCCTCCCCAGTTACCGCTAGTGTCCCCCAGTTCCCCCCACTACCCCCCTATGCTCCTCAGTTCCCTCCCAGTCCCCCCCCAGTTCATCCCAGTCCCCCACAACTGCCCCCCAGTTCCCCCTCAGGTTTCACCTGTGTTCCCCCCAGTGCTCCCCTGTCCCCCCCAGTGCCCCCCCAGTTACCCCTACTGCGCCCCAGTTCCTCCCAGTGCCCCTCCAATGCCCTCCAGTTCCTCCCAATTCCCTCCCAGTGTCCCCCAGTTCTCCCCTAGTGCCCTCCAGTCCTCTCAGTCCCCGAAACTCCCCACAGCCCTGGGAGGACAGCAAACAAACCCAATTGTCAGTGACAGACCCCAAAGGGTTCTCATGGCCGGGAAATCAGAGCAGCCTCAGCAGGAACAGGAGTTCCACCCTCCCACCCCAGCCCTGTCCCACCTGGCAGTGGGCACTGGCAGAAAATGAACAGCCCTCAATGAAAAACCTGCAGAAATCAGAGGGGGAAAAGCTCTGAAGTGGCCTGGGTGATGTTTTCTGTGAGCTCCTGGGTGACATTTTCTGTGAGCTCCTGGGTGATGTTTTCTGTGAGCTCCTGGGTGACATTTTCTGTGAGCTCCTGGGTGGTGTTTTCTGTGAGCTCCTGGGTGGTGTTTTCTGTGAGCTCCTGGGTGATGTTTTCTGTGAGCTCCTGGGTGACATTTTCTGTGAGCTCCTGGGTGGTGTTTTCTGTGAGCTCCTGGGTGACATTTTCTGCACACAGGGCTCCTCTCATGCTGCCACCAGGCTGCTGGGCTTGCAGGAATTCCGGGCTGCCCAGACTGTGAAATGCAACCCTGATGCTCCCCAGAGGAATGCCCGCTTCCTAACGCTGGAAGTGAGTAAAAATATACCAAAATCAAAATCAAAACTGTTCTGCTCTTGGCTCCCTCCCTCTCTCAGGGCTCTCTGCAGGCCTGCTGCTCTCTCAGGGAGCTCGATGTGTTCAGCAGAGCACGGGAGGTGAAGGTGGATCCTGACAAACCTCTGGAAGGTGCCCGGCTGGCAGCTCTGCAGGTACCTGGGCAAGCCCTGAGGAGGAGCTGGGAGGGGACAGCAACACCTCAGCAACACCTGGAACGGCATCTTCAAAGGGTTTTATGTGCAGCAGTGTGTGGATATCAAATCAATATCAATATCAATATCATGGAGTGGTTTAGGCTGGAAGGGATTTGAAGGGTAATTCAGTTTCAACCCCCTGCCATAGCAAGAGACACCTTTCACCATCCCAAAGTGCTCCAAACCCCATTGTCCAACCTGGCCTTGGGCATTCCAGGGATCCAGAAGCAGCCACAGCTTCTCTGGACACTTTCTCTGCCCACCCTCACAGGGAGGACTTTCTCCCTAATATCCCATCTAACTCTGCCCTTTGTCAGTTTGAAGTTGTTATCTCATAAAGCTATTTAGAGACATAGCTTTAAAGGAGGAATTGTCATTAAAGGTATGTCCTGAAATACCTTCAGATCTCTATTTTACCTTTATTTCTTCAATCAATCTTTCAGTGGAATTTTCCTGTATTGGCAGAAATTAATCTTACATGCACTACACAATCTGCAGCATCAAAAATTGAATATTTGGCCATCTGGTTTTTAGTATGTGACAATAAAAATATTTCTTCAGTGTTAAATGAACGTTCTCATGTGGTTCCTCAGGCAAGGAAGACTTTGCTGGTTCCCACACCACGTCTGAGGTCTGGGCTGTTCAACAGGATTGTTCCTCCTCCTGGTGCAACCAAGGAGATGCTGAGAAGGTGTGCCACATCTCAGGTGGGAATCAGGAGTCAGGGAGGGCTGAATTTACCTGTGGCCTCAGGATGGACCAGCTGGAAGTTAGTAAAACTGAAATCCCTTCCTGTTAGGATGTTATTCCTGGGTTTCTGTACATTGATAATATTGAAATCAGGAGAAAATTCAGTCTTAGCAGGGTTGAAAGGGACTGGAATTGATATTTCTCGTTTCTTTGGAAAATGATGAGCGACTTGAGGTGAGTCAGATCTTTCTTCATGCTCCTACATTCTGCACTTGTGAGCTGCTGAACCCTCTGGGGAATATTCTAGTGCCCTTAGGTGTTACCAAATAGGAAAGTTGAGGTTTTTTTATGGAATACAGCATCCAGGAGCCGTGAATTGTGGTGAATTGTGGTGGATTGAATTGTGGTGAATTGTGGAGAGATGTGGTGCATTGTGGTGAATTGTGTTGAAATGTGGTGAATTGGGGTGAACTGTGGTGAATTGAATTGTGAATTGTGGTGAATTGAATTGTGGTGAACTGTGGTGAATTGTGAATTGTGGTGAATTGTTGTGAATTGTCATGAACTGTGGTGAATTGTGGTGAATTGAATTGTGGTGAATTGTGAATTGTGAATTATGGTGAACTGTGGTGAACTGTGGTGAATTCTGGTGAATTGAATTGTGGTGAACTGTGGTGAATTGTGAATTGTGGTGAATTGTGAATTGTCATGAACTGTGGTGAACTGGTGAATTGAATTGTGAATTGTGGTGAACGGTGGTGAACTGTGATGGATTGTGGTGAATTGAATTGTGGTGAATGGTGGTGAATTGTGAATTGAATTGTGGTGCATTGTGAACTGAATTGTGAATTGTGAACTGTGGTGAACTGTGGTGATTTGTGGTGAACTGAATTGTGAATTGTGGTGAATTGTGGTGAACTGAATTGTGAATTGTGGTGAATTGAACTGTGGTGAATTGTGGTGAACTGTGGTGAACTGAACTGTGGTGAGCTGTGGTGAATTTTGGGTTTGCACTCAGCGGGGCCAGCACACAGCTGAGGTTCCAACTCTGCAGCGCGGTCTCTTGCTGCCCTCTCGTGTTCCAGCCTCAGCGTACAGCTCAGCCCTGGGGCCACACAGCCCTGCAGCTTTCACATCCATTTTATCTGCCACGAAAACCCAGCTGCTTCCTGCAGGGATTTATTCCTCCTTTATCTCCTGCTAAAGGCAATAAAGTTCTGCAGCCACCCCATCAACAACTGAGGTTGTAAATGGGTAATTAGTGGTGGCTTTCTTTGTTGGGAGTTCTGTTGCAGTCATTAACTAATTAAGCTGTTCAGGACTGAAGAGCACTTTTGCAAGAGATCTTTCTCTTGGCCTGCTGTCTGATCTGGGCTCTTACCACCATGTGTCTGGTTTTTCCCCCAGCCCACTAATGAAAAAAATGCTGTTGGCAGTTTGTATTTACAAAGCACTGTGCAAACAATCCTTACCACACTGCTGGGAAGTGCCTGATGGGCATTAGTGCTGATAGTCAGGCACAAATTGCTGAGTTCCTGGGGTTTGTGCTCTGCACAGAAAATGTTTGGCTCTTTATTGTGATTTTAATGTTGTGAATTTATAATTAACAGCGAGTTGAGCTGGTGTGGGGAGCATTTGTAGTGTGCTGTACGCATACATTGGGAGTGATTGAATCACAATTCAATGTTTTTAATTAAATTAATTAAATTGAATTTAACTATTTTTAATAGTTCTAAACCTCTGATATTTAAAAACCCAAGTAAACATAATTTTTAATTTCTGCAGTCTGGACAGAATTTTCATTAAAATGAGAATGGATTGAAGAACAGTGGGTGGGGTTGAACAGGGAGAGAGGAGAAGAAAAAAATAATTTTATCATTTTTTGTAACTTGAGATTTATTTGTGCTGTAGCTGTCTGTGTCTAAATTAACTTTGTGATTTGTATTTCAGAATTAATTGAAGCATTTGTAGTGCTCTGGTATTCCTCAGGATTTTAGTAGAGTGGGGAAGTGTGAATAGGAAGTGTCACTTGCCTTCTTTTTTAGGAACAGATTTCCAAAAAAGTGTTTCGAAACTATCAGGTTTTGATCCTAAATAAAAAACCTTGCTTCTAAAAGTGCCCACCTCCCTCAGCCCTCCTTGCAGTGTGCCAAAATTCCTGTCACTGTAGTAGGGAATCTATTCTAGGATTCCCTGGGGGGATAACTTCTCAGACATGTACAGTTTGGCTAAACATGGAAGAGACACTTAGAAACGTGGGGAGTTACTTGGATTTATCAAAATATCCTGCATTTCTGCCTCAGTTCTTGGAAGATTGTGCACTTTGCAAACCTCAAATGTTTTTTTTTTATTGTTTGTTTTTTTTTTTTCCTGCAGGGTGTAAAAGACTACAGCGTGCCTGTGGGGCTGGATGGGAAAGCACAAGTGGACTTGGTTGTTGTGGGATCAGTGGCTGTCTCTGAAAAAGGTAAGGAAAAACCTCCAGCAGGAAGGTCCTGTTATGTATGATTATAATTTGCACCAATGAAATGTTGTACTGAATCAAGGGAAATATGATTTGGCATGTATAATATTTAGTTGTTACAAAATACACACACCAGCACTGTGAGCTGCCCCCACACACATATTCGGTTACACCAGAGCTGGTTTTATTTTTTGGACAATGCCTCATTTACAATTTAATACATGTGGCCAGTCTGGAGATGGGCTGTCCCAAAAGGATACTGGAACACCTGGGAGCTGATCAATACCAGAGGACCTGGGAGCTGATCATCCTGGAAAGGACCCAAGATTGGGATCGCTGGATCGGGAAAAATCGTCCACACCTGGACCTGGATGGGAAAAGAGCTTTATGAATATGTGGGACTCTGAATAGAAAGAAAAGGTGGATTGCTGAAATCCTGGCCTCGGGCAGAACATTTCCTCCAAGAACTGCAGGGTCCAGGAGGGTGGTGTGTGTGTCCAGGGGAACCTCTGCCAGAGGCTCCTTCCTGTCACTCACCCAGCACCGAACCCGGGCTCAGCACTGCCCTTTCCTTGTGGCTGGCTCAGAGAGAATTCCATCCTAAATCAATTTTTTATTATTTCATTTTTAATTTAGCTAGACTAATTTTCATTTATAACAGTCCCAAGTCCCAGCACAGTGGCAGGAAGGCCACACCACGTGGCAGAGACAGATTTATCCTTGGAGCTGAGTTGTGGTCTTGGCTCTTTTGTGTGTGCCACATCCCTGCTCCCATCCCTGCATGAAGCTGGGATGCCTCAGGAGGCAGTGGGCACACAGCAGTGGGCTCAGAGATGTTTTGGCCTTCAGGAAAGCCCTTGAGGCAAGCAATTGTTTGTGTTTGACAGGAATCCATGCAGGCTCACACACAGGCTGTGTGAAAGGACTTGTGTTAGACCTGCTGATTCAGGACCTGTCTGGGGATCAGATTTTGCATTTTCTAGTATTTTGGAAACCTGCTGGTGCTGAAAAATTTTCCACTGACTTTATCCCTTGCCTAAAATAACACGGTTTTTATGTGTGACCCAGGCTCCTCTTTACCCACATTAACCTGTGTTGGACATGAATAGAAGGTTCTAAATACAATTACTAAATAAACTGCTGGTTTAACTGCTTTGAATTTGTTTATTCTGAATAAGAAGCTTCTGGGATCTTTTAGGAGTCATTGAAACTGATGTTTTATTTCATTTCAGTGCTGATTTCAAGGAAAGCTACACTCTGTGAGAGATGCTGATCTGATTTTTTCCAGAGTTACAACTTGCAGACTGCTGGGTTAATTACACCATTTTAACAACAACTTTCCACTGTGCTGTTTGTTTTTGGTTTTGGTTTTTTTTTTTCCACTTTTCTGTACTTTAGGCTGGAGAATTGGCAAAGGGGAAGGTTATGCAGACATGGAATATGCAATGATGGTGTCCATGGGTGCAGTGCAGGAGGACACACCTGTGGTTACCATCGTGCACGACTGCCAGGTGAGCTCAGATGTTCAAATATCCCCTCTGCAGCTGGGAGGGAGCTCTGGGACACTTCCTGCTCTGTCTGGAGAGGAGACATGGAATGAAGCTGGTTTGGCATCTTTATTCCTATTGTCTTTGATGGATTTTCATGTGACAAGACAACAGGAATGGGGCACAGCTTTAGGGAGTTTGTTTTTAGCTGCTTAACCAAATCTCTGCCTTGTAGGTGCTTGACATAGCAGAGGAGCTCCTGGGTGATCATGATTTAACTGTGGATTACATCCTCACTCCAACAAGGATTATCCAAACTAACTGCAAACGACCAAAACCTCAGGGAATACTGTGGCACAAGGCAAGTTCCATCTTAATCAAGTTAAATCTTAAACCTTTGCTGCTGGTGGCACAAGGCAAGTTCAATTTTAGGTTAAATCTTAAACCTTTGCTGCTGATGGCACAAGGCAAGTTCAGTCTTCATCCAAGTTAAATCTTAAACCTTTTACTGCTGGTGGCACAAGGCAAGTTCAATCTTCATCCAAGTTAAATCTTAAACATTTTGCTGCTGGTGGCACAAGGCAAGTTCAATCTTAATCAAGTTAAATCTTAAACCTTTGCTGCTGGTGGCTTATAGATATCAAAAACCTACTGATAAACCCTCAATTTTTATATAGAAACATTATTTTTTAAATTAGAAATACTTGGTGAAAGAGCAGATGTGCTTGTCAGGTGAAACAAAACAGCAGCATCTGTGAGCAGAGGGGTTTGAGGGGTGATGGTGAGGAGGAGAGATATTTCCCTACATCTGAGGTTGCTGTTTCCAATGGATTATCAAGAGCTGGCTGCCCCATCCTGGAAGTGTCCAAGGCCAGGCTGGATGGGCTTGGAGCAATTTGGGATAGTGGGAGCTGTCCTAGAGGGGTGGAATTGGTGGGTAAAGTCTGTGCTGCTCTGGTTGTGAAAGGAAAACAAAACCTGCTGCTGGTACATCCCTGTTTCTGCAGTGGATTCACTTTCCAAGGATAAATTTGTGGCTGGAGCTCGTTTTCAGGTGGGAGAACAGGGATTTAAACATGAATCTTTCTTTATTGGAAGTTCCTCTGTTATGGATTTGGCCTTTTCCTCCTGCCCAGTGACAGAAACTTCCTCAGCTTCCCAAATAATTTCAGGAAAGCCTCGAGTGAATTGTTTTACTGGAGGTTCCTGCTGGGAAAACTTTTTCTTTGTCATTGGATTTTCATTTCTAAAATCGTCCAGTTAGGGAGCAGACACAATCCTGCATGAGTGAGTACAGCAGGAATGCCAAAATGAGGAATTGTGCACCCACATCTTGCAGAAACTGAGGAATTTTAAGGCAATATTCCCAGGGAAATCAAAAGTTGTTTGTTAAAATTTGCTAACCAGCTAAAAGAGTTAAATTCCTTTAGGTAATGTATCTACAACAAACAAATTCTAGCCAGGACTATTTTTATTCCAATAGTGGGAGAGCATTTTACCCTGCCTGTGGTTGAGGATTTGAGGTTATAAATAAATAAATAACAGCTCTGTCTGTCCTAGTGCATTTTTTCCATTGAATTATTTTTGAATTGTATTTTTTTTAGTATATTATTGAATGTAATTGTGTTGAAGGCCTACCCCTTGTGCTCCATCCATCCTGCCAACATATTTTTGATCAGTTTGTCTGCCTTGGTGTCAGACTTCTCAGTAAGTGGCCTTGCTGACACTTTTTTATTTCTTTTTTTGTGCCTTTAGCAGAAACTGAATTTTTTGCAGCTTTCACTGAGAGTGGAGCACAGATTGACCCTTTATTTGTATTTGAGTGTTGATGTAACACCTTTTGTTTGGAGCTGTGTGGATTAAATAGGAATACTGGAGAAGACCAGGGATAATAATCACTTTTCTGTCATTTTGGGACCAGAACAAAGTGTGGTGTCTGCATGAAGCAGAAATTGCCATGATCCCCCAGGGAAATGAGTGCCATTTATTTTTTGTGTGCCTCGGGTGGTATCTGAATGTTCAGCTCTGCACAGAGGGGTTTGGAGGTGGGAGGTCTGGTTAATCACCAGGGTGTGAAAAAGCAGCATTTGATAGGGGCTATTTAAGTATTTGCTCTTTGGATTTTCCTGGCTACTTCTCTATCATTTTCTCTCCATCCTTTTCTCCTTCAAATCCTGGCTTTGCTGGTGCATTCTTGTTCCTCAGAGCAAAACTAAATGAACCAAGAGGCAGTGAGTAAATAAATCATCCACTTCTAAACAGGGGCTTTTGTCAACAGAGAGTAGCTTAACTTCCTTGTGAAGACTTGTGAGGTGAAAAATTCATTGTTTAAAAAAATAGCTGCTCCTTGGGAAGCAGGGCTGGATGAGGCCAGGAGAATGTTTAGGAGTTTGAAATCCAGGTGTTTGCAAATATGGGATTACAGCTAAGGATTGCTGTAAGGATGTGCTGCCAGTAATGCACCCTCAGCTCCTGAGGGAAGGAGGTGCAAACAAATCCTTGGCTGCATTTTCCTGGAGTGCTCTTGTGTGTTCTGAGCTGTTGAAGGACTTTCAAGGAAGTGCAAGAGCCACAATACCATCAATACCAAAGAATCATTATCAAGCACTCCAGAAACACTTTTAAATCCACAGTGCTGGGGGGGTGTTTGTGGGACTTTTGTGCCTCTGAGGTCACAGTTTTGGGACATCAATTTGAGGTACTGGAGGGCAGCAAGAGCTGCTGAGAGCTGAGCACTCTGCAAAACTTTATTTGGATGCCAGTGGAGAATAATTTGGCTTCATCTGCCTTGAAAATCCAACCCATTGTTTGTGGGAACTGTAAATTCATGAAGCTACTTGCTTTCTCATTTAATGTTTTCTATGGGTAACTGTGATCTTTATCTGGGACACTGGCTATTATATTTGTCCCAATTATCAAGTTATTTGTGCTGTGCTTATTATAAATTGAAACTGTACAGACAAATTAAAATATTTGGGTTCATGAAGAGGGAAAGGAGAGTAGTTGGTGGAAAAATCACTATATTTTAGCAAGCATTTCCTTTTGGTTTTGAAATAATTATTTTGCTGAGAATTTTATAGCAGTAGGAAAAGAATTAAAATGAAAAGAAATGAAATAAATGAAATGAACTGTGGGGGGAATCCCAGTGGCAGAGATGGAAACCCTCTGACAACAAACATCTTTGGGTGTGTGATAGAGCATTTAGAACGGAAAAGCTCAAAAAATGCACCCATCCAAGCTGGCAAATCCTTCAGCAGAAGGATTTTGCCACTGAAATTGCAGTCAGTGTAGGCAGGGCTTTGTTTTGGGGTGGTTTTTGGGATGCTGGGGGCAGGGAATGCTTCCCCACATCTCAGCACCTTTGCCAAGCTGAGCCTCGCTGCAGAATCCCCGGCATGCACGGGTGGATTCCAAGTGTGGGCTGCACCAGTTTCTCCTGAGGGACACCAGCAGGCTCCACGGGCTGCCAGCTCCCTGAAATATGTCCTTGGATTGTGTGCACATATTTGGACATTTTGTGCAAGCGAATGATAAAATGTTCAGCCGTGCTGGCCTTGCTGCCCCGGCCTTGTCTGTGCCACAAATCCCTGTTTGCTCAGAGCTCCTGGAAACGAGGACACAGCATGAAAAGTTGGGTCTGTCCCAAGGAGGTTTTGAGCAATCTGGGGTCAGAACCCTCTGAGATGAGCCTTGCAAACAGCTTTAGCTCACCTGTTTGGAAGGGCTGATGGATCTGCAGCACTGGAGATGTTTGGTGCTGTTTGCAGCCTGCCAGGGCAGCAGCTTCATCTTAAAATTATGGAACGGGTTGGGTTGAAAGGGATTTGAAAGAGAATCTTATTCCAAGCCCCTGCACACCTTCCCAGCTGCTCCAAGCCCTGTCCAACCTGGTCTTGGACACTTCCAGGGATCCAGGGGCAGCCACAGCTGCTCTGGGTACCTGTGCCAGGGCCTGCCCACCCTCCCAGGGAACAATTCCTTCTCTATAGCTAAACTGAATTTTTCTCTCGTCCATTCTGAGGCCATTCCCCTTGTCCTGTCACTGATGAGCAGTCCCTCTCCAGCTTCCTTGTAGCCCATGCAGATCCTGGAAGGAGCTGGGATATCTCCAGCCTGAACAATTCCAGCTTTCTCAGCCTGTCCCCACAGGGGAGGTGTCCCAATCCTCCTGCCAACTTCGTGGCCTCCTCTGGACTTGATCCAACATTCCGTGTTTTTGTGCTGCTGGGGACACCAGAGCTGAGCACGGGATTCCAGGTGGGGTCTCACAAAATCCAGGTGTTCCTGTGTCACTGAGATGAGGAGCTGTGGGAAGCAGAGTGAAATAGGATAAGGACAGCCTCCCATCCCATCCCATCCCATCCCATCCCATCCCATCCCATCCCATCCCATCCCATCCCATCCCATCCCATCCCATCCCATCCCATCCCATCCCATCCCATCCCATCCCATCCCATCCCATCCCTCAGGACTGCAGTGCTTCCAGGGAAATCTCGGTGCTGTCTGCCTTGGCCTGGGCTGGCTCAGGGGTCAGCATTGCTCACTCTGACACAGGACAATCCTCATTCTCCACAGCAGGATATGGGAAGTGGCTCTGATCAGAGATCTGGGAGGGCAGAGGGTGAGGAGAGCCCTGGTGCTCCAGCAGCGATGCTCAGGAGTCCGTCTGCCACCAGGTTTTAGGACCAAACCAGGTGTCATAGCATGGATGCTGTTGGGAGATTTATGTTGGCACTCAGCATCCAGGACTTTTTTCCTCAGGTTTCTGTCAGAAAGGGACCACATTCCCCTCCTCAGCTCCTTTCCCAGTAATTGTGTGCCAGAAGAATTTATCCAGACTGCTGTCCTCTTTCCCCAAGGCTCTCCCAGCCAGGGCAGGGATTATTAAATGATTAATTGCCTTTGGTGGAGTTATTTTTAACCCAAATCACTTCAGAGTTTATGGCACAGACCCATGAGCACTTCTTGTGGCCAACCCCAGAGGGCTGAAGGGTGGAATTGGTCTGGGAATTGGTGGTCAGGGGATGATAGGGAACATCAGCTGTGGTTTCACTAGAAAAGCTAAATCCAAACTCAATCCAAAGTTTCAAAACATCAGGAAATGTTCTGCCCTTGGCTTTGAAGGGATGGGGGAAGCTTCCAGTGCTGGCTTTGCCCATGTTCACATAGATGGATCAACCAGACCTGGGCTGGGATGTCCCTTAAATTCTGGTTTAGCCAAAAGCAGTAGGTAGGGACAGGGATAGGGCTAAGCAAGGCTAGGGAGGACTGACCAGCCAGCACAGCACCCAGAAGTGTGCAGCTTGTTTGAAAGAGAGCAGGAATATCTTTGGCCTCTCTCCACGTGGAAATAAATCCTTGCAGTCCTCCCCAGCTCACAGGACAAAAGGAACTTTTTGCATTATTGTAATTAGCAACACATTGTGCTATCACAGGGTTCTTTTGTTTGCTCTTTTGCAACAGAGCAGAACAAGCTTTTTCCTCTCCCCTGCCACCCACTGCCCCCTTTGCCCTTTTAGTTCTCACCCCCAAAACCCAACGGATTTGTTTGTTGAATTGAAATCCCAAATCAAGTTTCTGCCTTTCCATGGAATAAAAGTGGAAGAAAACAGGGACAGGTTTAGAAGGTTTGACCCAGCTGAAATGTTCTCCTAGAGCCCAGAGAAAAAAGCCCTCAAGGTAAATCCTCTGTGCCTCTTGTGACAGCAGGGTGTCAGCTGGCAGTGTCAGAATTTGCCTGATGTTTTTTACAGCTCTTTGCTAAGACAAAAAAATAGAAGTCTTAAATCAGCTGCCTTTGTTGCTTTGGTGAAGGTCTGTTGCTGTTGTGTTTGCACAGGGCTGGGTTTTGAGGGAATGACAGAATCACTGTGTTTGATCAGAACTTTAAAGGTGTGTTTGATCAGAACTTTAAAGAAAATAGTTCATAGCCCTTATGAAAATCCCAGAATCACTGAGGTTGGAAAACACCTCCAAAATCACCAAGCCCAACCTGTGACTGACCCCAGAGCAGACACCTGAGTGCCATGTCCTCTCTTTCCATAAACACCTCCAGGGATGAGGACTCCACCACCTCCCTGGGCAGTAATTCCAATGTCTAATCCCCCCTTCTGTGCAGAAATTCCTCCTAAAACATAAATGCTGTTGTCACTGCATCTTCCTGAGGCTGCCAGGAGCCTGAAACAGTAGCTCCAAGAGCTGCAGTCTGATGCCAAAATCTACTTAGTGAGAGGAGATGCCTGGTGGAAGTCTCTTAGAGATGCTGTTCCCTGGATTATCTAAATCCTGCCCTTGGATTGTCCTTGAAAGCCTGGGAATTCCAGGGTTTATCCTCTCAGTGCCCATCTCTGATTGCCCTAATCTCCAAAGCCCTGAGGGTTTGCCCTTGGTAGCATTTCCCTTTCTGACCAAACACCCAACCCGTGCCTTGGCAACTGAGTTTAATTTCAGGATGAAAGGAACTGTTCTTGGGTTGTGCTTTGGGGCCAGGAGTGATTGGTTGCATGAGAACAGAAAAATGTTTTTCCTGTTTGGTTTAATTAGCATAGAGCTTACATTTCATATCCAAATTTGACAGAGGACAACAAACATTCTTAATTGTTGGCCAGTACAATCAAAGTGAGATCCTTCAGCCCTTGGTTTGATGTTGTATCACTCAGGGAAGGGGAGCTTGCTGTGACACACAGCACTTGGAATTCCTGGCTGAGAAAAACAAATCAGCCCCAGCATCCACAGAATAATAACTCGGTAAAATGTGGAAATGCTCTGCACCTTTGTGTGTGTGGAGGCTCCTGGAGCAATCCGCAGAGCAAATCCTGCTGTTTGATGTTGTGTTAGCAGAACCAGCACAGGCTTTATGGAGATTATGTTTTTATTTAGTTCCAGCCTGAAATAAATCCTGCTTGTTTGCTCTTCAGAAGATTAAGAGAATTCTGTTGAGTGACTTGCCTGTCACCTCATCCTGACATTGCCCCCACCCTGCCTTGGCTTTTCCTCGAGTCACTTCAGAGCTGAGCCCCTGTCCCCAGGGAGCTGAGCTTGATGTTGTGCAGATCCAGGCTGGCTGTGGCTGTAACTGGAGGAGCAGGAATTCATTCAGGGGCTCTGGGCTGGGTGAGGTCTGAGCTGGAGCTCTGCAGGCTGTGCTGGCTGCGATATCCTGGTGCTGCTCAGTCCAGCCTGCTGAGGGTGGTGGCCCTCTCCCGTTCTGGGCTACCAGCCTGGGTCTCTGCTAGCTCAGGCATTGCTTCCCCAGGCTCTGTTTTGCTCCCTACATTTCAGCATTGGATCTGGTGTTGATGGATGTTGGACTTGTCCAGCAGCCAAGCAGGAATTCCTCCTCCTTCCAAGCTCAGTGTGCAAGCCAAGAACTCAACCACATGAGCTGGGGAACCAGTGCATTTCCTGCCAGTGTCTGAGTGCAGCCTGGGGCATCTCATGCCTCACATGGATGGGGTTCAGCTGCTGAGAGGAAGAGCCCTAACAGAAAAGCTCCTTGGGAGCAGGGCATGGATGGATGGATGGACAGAAGGAAGGAATAACGGGCTCACAGTGGGAGCGCAGTGTCCGAGCGCTTCCCTTCCCTGCTCCAGCAGATCCACGTGGGATTGAGGAGCTGTGGCTGGTGTGGGAGGTCGGATGGCACAGAGGGGATGTGCCCCAAGCAGGGGATGTGCCTCCAGCTGGGCCCACATCCACAGGAACCCTGCTCCAAGGCACGCTCCTGCCGCAGCTTCCACCATTGTGTGAGCCAGCCCACGGGATATCCTGTGCTGGGCAAGCAGAGCACCAGGAGCTCTGAGAATGGAAGTGTCTGATGGGTTGGGATGGGTTCTGCCAGAGCAGGGATTGTGTGGGGTTCTGGCAGGGCAGGGATTGTGTAGGGTTCTGTCAGGGCAGGGATTGTGTGGGGTTCTGGCAGGGCAGGGATTGTGTGGGGTTCTGGCAGGGCAGGGATTGGGATGGGTTCTGTCAGGGCAGGGATTGGGATGGATTCTGCCAGGGATTGGGATTGTGTGGGGTTCTGCCAGGGCAGGGATTGTGTAGGGTTCTGCCAGGGCAGGGATTGGGATGGCTTCTGCCAGGGATTGGGATTGTGTGGGGTTCTGCCAGGGCAGGGACTGTGTAGGGTTCTGCCAGGGCAGGGATTGGGATGGCTTCTGCCAGCCAGGGATTGTGTAGGATTTTGCCAGGGCAGGGATTGTGTAGGATTCTGTCAGGCCAGGGAATTGTGTAGGGTTCTTCCAGGTCAGGGGATTGTGTAGGATTCTGCCAGGGCAGGGATTGTGTGGAATTCTGCCATGCCAGGGAATTGTGTAGGATTCTTCCAGGCCAGGGAATCGTGTAGGATTCTGCCATGCCAGGGAATCATGTAGGATTCTGCCATGCCAGGGGATTGTGTAGGATTGTGCCAGGCCAGGGACTGTGTAGGATTGTGCCAGGCCAGGGAATTGTGTAGGATTGTGCCAGGGCAGGGGATTGTGTGGAATTGTGCCATGCCAGGGATTGGGATGGATTCACCAGGGCAGGAGCACGGGCTCTCAGTCAAAGCAAACACAGAGGGAGGACAGGGAGAATGCAGATCGGAAGGCACTCGGATAAATAAATGTCAAATTGAATAATCCTGACTCAGGTTGGGATTTGCCTGCTGGATCCATGTTGTGCTGCTCACTTCAAGAGCCACTAATGTTTATTTTTGTCCTGCAGTGTGTATTTAGGGAGACTTCCCAATCAGAGCAGCAATTAGGAACATTTGGAATGCTCTGACACTCTGTGTGGCAGCAGGATAATAAAGTTCCTCTCTTTTTATGGCACAAACGAGCCCTGATGCTCATCATCTTTTTCTGGAAGGCAAGAAATCCTTTTATAATATTATTATTATGATTATTTTCCTCCTTTTTAGGTCAGCTCTGAGATGCTGGGAAAAATCCCCATCCTAAAGACTCTTCGAAGCAGGGAGAAGCAGGCTGGCAAGGATGTCACCCTCCAGGATGAACAGCCAGCCCTGGCAAACACCAAGAGAGGAACAATTTCAAACAAGAAGGTGATGGCTGCAAATCCCCAAGCACAGGCTGCTCCAGTGGGAGAGCCCCATGTGGAAAATGATCCTGAAAATCCCAAATTCGAGGGATCTGACACAATTAGCACCGTGTTTGTGGGGAACTTGCCTGGCAGCCTGAGAGTGAGCGAGCTGAAAAGTGCCCTGAGGGAATTGCAGGTGGTTCCTGTGGGCTTGAAGTGGCAGGGAGCACAGCACAGGGCTTTCCTGCACTACAGGGATCAGGGAGCTGCACACAGAGCTGTGTCCTCCTTGCAAGGCCTGAGCCTTGGGGGCAATGCTCTGAGAGTGGAGCTGGCCAAGAGCCACAGGAGCAAAGGGCAAGGAGGAATCAATGGTCATGAATGAGGAGAAAAAAAAAAAAAAGTGTGTTTTCATTGTTTTGTGAGAAGCCAACCTGAAGTTTTAAGTTCTTTTTGTAACATTCAGGTTTAACAAAACTAAATTTCTGCACAACTTTTCTTGGACATGCAAAGGTTTGTCCCCACTGGTGACAGAGGAGCCATTTCTCTGTAAATAATTGCTCACAAAGTAGCCACACTCTGCTTTTGGTGCTGTTTGGTGGTTTTGTTAAGCCTGGCTTAAAGCCTTAGCACCTGCAGCAGGGTGGTTCAGTCACTCATTAAGGTCAGACCTTTTATACCTGTGAGGGTAAAAGCCAGCAGCAGGAACCTGTCCTAAGGCTGACAGTTCTGTTTACTGAAAAATGGGCTTTGCCTGTTGGAAGTTTTCAATTTATTTTTTATAAAAATGAACAGAGATTTTCCTTTTTGTGCCTTGAAGAGTGGCTGTGGAAACACTGGTTTAGTTTTAGCTCTAGTAAGAGCTGGTGGGAAAGATGGGAACCTTTTTCTCAGCTTTTTGCTAAATCAGCCCTTGGTAAACTTTAGGAAAACAAATCCCAGTTTTCTCTGCTTTTCCCCAAAACTGCTTTTCTGATGGATCAAATAATCATAAAATTACAATGTTATAATTTAGCTATATAATTTTATAATTACCTGCTTTTTCTGATTGTCTCTTCTAATGGGATGTGATTCCGTTGCCTTTGTAAAATAACATTAATAATAATAATTTATTATAATAATTATTTATAATATTATTTATATTATTGTTGTTGTTGTAGTGGAAATGAAAAGCAGGCACACCATGGTCAGAACTTGTTGGTGCTTAGTCTGGCATGGAATTCTTTGGGAATTTGCTGGAGACTGATGCTGTGTCAGCATCCCTGATGCTCTTCCCCATCATCAGTGAGGAGGGTGAGACCAAACCACCCAACTTCTCCAGGTGAAAATGCTCCCAGGCACTGTCCTGGACATGAACATTCCCTTCCACTGTAATGGCCAATAATGATTTATCTGCTATGGCTCTTATTACCATTTTTTTTCCCCTTGGGTTTCCTATTCCTGAAAAACAAGTTAAATTTTGGCCCAACCATCCTTTTTAAACAGAAGCACTTTTGCCAGTGATGCTGGGCATGTAGTCAAAGTAAGCATCTAAATGGATTTTTTTTCTTTAAAGTAACAGTTGGAAAGTTGTTTTTTTTTTAGCCAGGGAGTACTGTTAAGTATATTTTAAGCAGATTATTATGCCTTGAGGGTCAGACGTTTATTCAGTATTAAATAAAAAGTTCTCAGCGTTATCATGTGGCTCTGCAGGGAAGGGCTGAAGGAAAGCTGCATCCAGCCCTGGGATCCCAGCAGAGGAAGGACAAGGAGCTGCTGGCAGAGTCCAGAGGAGGCAGCAGGATGAGCAGAGGGATGGAGGAAAGGGACAGAGAGCTGGAATTGTTCAGGGGTGAGCTCAGAACTTTGCAGATGGAACTGACTCCTCCTCCCGATGGAGAGAGACACTGGACATGGCCCTGGAGTGGCTTCAAACTGCCACAGGGCAGGGTTAGATGGGATCTCAGGGAGAAATCCTCCCCTGGGAGGGTGCCCAGAGCAGCTGTGGCTGCCCCTGGATCCCTGCAAGTGCCCAAGGCCAGGCTGGACACTGGGTTTGGGGCACCCTGGGGTGGTGGAGGGTGTCCTTGTTCACAGCACAGGGGTTGGAACACGATGATCTTTCAAATCCCTTCCAACCCAAACCATTCTGTCATTCTGTGAACTTCTTGTAAGGTCAGCAAAGGATCTGGAAAAAATCAGTAGTTCCATTCCATTCTTTGTACAGCTCCAAGTGATTTGCAGTATCACTGAGCCCAAATTCAGACAAGCACTGCACAAAACCCTCTGGGTCTCATTTCAGGGCTTGTGCCTTCCTGGGTTATGTTACTGCCCAAACACACTGCCTGCATCATCAGCTTCCAAAGCAGAGGAAAGAAAAGCAAAAAAATAATTATCCATCCCTGCCTGCCCTTTCCAGATGATGGCAAATTGAGTAATGAGATCATTTGCTGTTCCTTTTGACTCTGGGATATTTCTTGCTCTGCTGAAGATGTCCAGGTGACCTTAGCAGTTAAAAGCCAATGACTCTGCCAACGAAAACTTCAGGATCTCAAACTTCCCCTGGTGCATTTCAGGTGGGACCACCCTTTTCTGGTCACATTTGTGGGAATCACATCCTCTACCTTCTTTCCTTTCTTCCCATCTTGAGTTTCAGTGCAGATCTGTTTATGTGTTCTGTAAATGTGGTAAGTTTGCTTGCTTTCCTGCCAGCCCAGCCTGCAGCCAGGGGCCAGTTTTGTTTGGACAAACATCTGGATGTTTTTCTGTTTGCAGCTGTGGTTCTGGGTGAAGCCACAGGTGAGCAGTGTCCAAAATCTTGGCTCTTTCCAGCCTGTCACTTTTTTTTTTTTTCTGTCACGTATTTCACTGCCACATTTCCCTGTGTTTACCCAACATCCTGTTGCTTTCTCAGCTGAGAGTTAAACTCTAAACCATGATGTGAGGAGATGCTAACTAGGGGTATGCAACAGGTTGGAAATCAGGAGGAATTTCTTCATGGAAAGGGTGGTCAGGAATTGGAATGGGCTCCCCAGGGAGGTGATGGAGGTGCCCAGGGGAGGGCTGGACCTGGCACTCAGAGCTCTGGGCTGGTGACAAGGTGGGGATGGGTCACTGATTGGATTTGATGATGCTGAAGCTCTTTTTCAACTTTTATGATTCTATGAACTGTGGTTAGGAAAAAAATAATTACTGTAAGCTTAAGCTAGTTAGCATTTTGAATGGACTGGAAAAATGCTGCGGTGATCCTTGTATTTTTGATGGAGGTTATTCAGGTGCTGCCATCCCAGTCAGTGAATCCCTCTCTGAAATCAGTGCAGCTCCACCTTGGAGAGCCATGGAAGCAGGGGCAGGGATGGGGCTCTAAAAGACATTTCAGTGCCAGCTGCCAAAGCGCTGTTGAATTAAAGGAAATTAATTAAGCACAAGAGTGGCCAAGGCACAGCCCTGCACGGCCTTCTGGTGTCTCCAGCTGTATGATGTGGATTTTCCCTTGTGGGCTGACCCTAAAGGAACCTAAGGGATGGTGTAGGAAAAGTGAATGGGGCAGTCTGCCTCTGTCAGAGCTGTTCCAGGCTCTCGGCATGTTCAGGGAGGCATCACTTAGAGCAGAGTCAGGAGGGATTTCTGTAAGTCCCCAAAACTCTGAAATGCAAGAGATTTTATTGAATCCTTGGGTTCTGCTCTTATAAGAAATCTCAAGGAATTGAAGCCTGCTGATGTTTTATTTTGGTTGAGACCAAGGTTATGCAAGATACCAACAATCAAACCATAAAATCCATACCCTGAAATATTCTCTGCCTGAATGAACAGCCTTTAAAGAGCAGAATACTGACTCAAGCCATAATTCCTCATTCTGTACCTGCTGCAGCTGTGACCTGTGCACAAAGACACAAAATGTGCCTCATCTCAGGTGGCTCCTGGCCCAGTTTTACTGCTTGAGACTCACCAGAAAACCATCAACAGTGGCAAAGCAGTGCCTGGGTGCTGCAGAAAAGTCTGAAATGCTGCTGATGGATCTCTGCTCTGCTTTTCATAGGGAGTGAAGTGATCCCCTTTTCATAGGGAGTGAAGTGATCCCTAGCACAGCAGAGCTGTATGATGAGAAGAAACGTTCAGCAGCACAATGGGAAAAGCTTTCCTGAGCCAACTTTGTTCCCAATAATTCAGACTGAGGCTCTCTATTCTCTGCTCAGCCCGATGTCCTCGCCTGTCATGTGGTCATGCACATTCTTTCCAGCTCCTTTCATGGCACAAACACTTGGGATGCTGCTGTGGAGCTGCTGTTGCTGCTTTTGAAGGTTCAGTGGGGGAAGTTTGTCTGGAGTGACCCCCTGGAGCTGGGTTTGGGATCAGCACTGACCACCGGTGTTCCATGAGGGACGTCACCATCCGAAGGGCTGTTCTCCCTTCCTCCCTACCCTCATTTGTGGCAGAAATGCAGAGTGAAACCAGCACGGGCTGAATGGAGCCTCCACCAGCCCCGTGGTGGAGGACAGGGTGACTTTGGAGGGGGTTTTTGTGGGAAGCCATCAGTGCCAGCGTGGTGTGTGGCACAGAGCAGTGAGGCAAGGCTGGAATCTGCTAACAATGAGGCCGGGGTGGCTCTGTGCCACCCCAAAACTGCACAGGCGTGAGGGTTTTCCTCCAGCCAGCCGTGTCCATGCGTTTCCTGGAACACTGACAAGGCCACACAGCTTCAAGCCACCAAAGACAACAGTAAACAAGCTGGGCAGGCTCTGAGCTGCAGGAGTCAGAGACTGTTTCCAGGGAAGGAAAAAGGGGAGAAGAAAATCTCTCACCATCAAGGCTTTTTTCTTGCATCTCACATCCAGGTCCAGCATCTCCCTGATCCCCTCCCAAGAAGCAGCCTGGAAGGACAGAGGTTTTATCCCATTATCCCAATTAAAAAAAAAAAAAATCAGGAAAGGGATGGTTAAACATTGTCTCCAAGTCATGCCTTTATTTTGTGTATGCTTTTTTTTTTTAATTATTTCATCATCTTCTACTGCTCCAAAGGGAGGAACAAACGGCTTTTAGGGAAATGTTTCCATTGAAAACTCCAGCACTGGGGCTGTTTTTTCTCCACAGGGGTGAGGAGGGGGAGGAAAAGCGTGTGCAGGGATTTCTCTCGTTCCGGTTCCTCCAAAGGAACAGCCCCTCACAGCACTTCTGCCTCTGGAGGAAACATCTGTGGCTGTGGCCACGTTCCTTGGGCAAACCCCCCTGCTTGGGAGGCTGTTGTGTACCAAATGCTTTGATTTCCTGGTTGGCATCTCTTAAAGATTATCTCCCTCCCAGAAAAGGGCAGCATTTCCCATGTTTCCATGTGTAATGTCCGTGATGGCTGCTATAAACATCATGCAACGTTTCCCTGCCCCTCCTCTGACATAGGTAGCAAAATCTCTGCTTTTCATCTTTCAAAGCCCTGCAGGAATGTTTAGGGTCGTGTATCCTGCCATTGTTCTTGGCTGGGCATCCCACTGAAGTGCCTGGGAGAAATGAGTTCAGGATATGGATCTATCTCAGCTCCATCTCTGCTGCGGCCCCAGGAACATCCACATTTTACAGATGGGAAGGCAGAGATGGCTCCTGATAGACTGGAGGCAACTGGGCATTCCCAGCCCTTTGGAAAACAACAGCAGGACAAGCCAAAAAATCAGCAGAAGTTTAAAAATCCTCCAACCAAGCCCCTCTTGGGCTTTTCTGTGTGACAGAACTGATGTTCCCAACGAGGAGCATCAGGGTGGCTCTGGGAGCTTTTAATCCCACTGGTTCTCCTGTTCCAGAATTTTCCATCAAGGTTCCCAGCGCCACATCTTCTGCTCTGTGGCACCAAAGAGAATTTTTTTCCCAGAATTTTGCCCCAGGAACATCCACATTTTGCAGATGGGAATGCAGAGATGGCTCCTGATAGACTGGAGGCAACTGGGCGTTCCCAGCCCTTTGGAAACCAGCATGAGGACAGGCCAGAAAATCAGAAAAAACTCTCAAAAAACCTCAGGCAAGCCGCTCTTGGGCTTTTCTGTGTGACAGAACTGATGTTCCCAATGGGATTTTTAATACCTGGAACATCAGGGTGGCTCTGGGAGCCTTTAATCCCACTGGTTCTCCTGTTCCAGAATTTTCCATCAAGGTTCCC